TCCCTCTCTCTTCCTCCCTCTCTCTTCCTCCCTCTCTCATCTAAAAAAACAATTACCGAATACTTTCATGCTAATATCCTTGATTAGTTTCGGCACTGAGATTGTGCCAACTGCCAAGAACATCGAAAGCCTATGGCATATTGAGTTGTTGATCAGTTGATGATTATATCGAAAAAAAATTGCTGGCAGTTTTGTTAACAGTTTATTTATAAAGAAAAGATAAATAAATAAATATGCGAGGAATTAAGTCAACAAGTTATTCACCATTACTTAAATTTTCGTCTTACTGCAATATTCCAAAAGATCATATTTCTTATCAAAACATACATTTCCATATTATATTACCAAAGAACAATACAGTACTGATATGATATGATATGGGATAGAATGTTTTACAAAGGGTGATACATTGAGAAAAACCGATAAACTGTTTAAAAAGGCTCCAAACAGCATAATAAATGGTTGTTATTTATGGTATAAATTCAAATTACAGAATTTTTTGTTTATTTAAAAGATAAAAAACAAAACATTGTTGAAATCGAATTCTTAAAAAGTTTAAAATTTGAATATTTCTGAAGACGCAAAATTATTTAAATAGAAAATGATTGTTATTTGAGTTTTATTGTAGATTTCTCAAGCTGGTTCATGTCATCATCAATAACAGGAAGTGAGAAATATAACGGTGGACCGCGAAGTAGTCCGGTCCTTTCAGAGTTTGATACCGAATATGCCTGTTCTGATCATGCTGTTAGTTAGCTCACTAATCATATTAGCAATTTTATTTGAAATATTTCGAAATTTACAAATCACTCAACATTTCACTTTATCATTGAATTCAGAATTTAAGATAAAATTATTATTATCTTCAAAATGACGAAAATTCACTTTACAAAAATTAAAAACAATTTTATCAAGCAAAAATTTGTCTTTACAGATGGTGAGCCATGTGGTACAAACTGCGGTACGCAATTATTTTTCGGCATCATGCACCAATCCAACCCATATGACTATCTGTATTGATTTCACCGAAGGTGCACCGACACCAAATAACTCTACACCTACCGTTCGATATCAGGCACCATTGGTACAAATCAATGTTGAGCGAAAATTTGATCCCAACGTTGCAACCGCTGCTGCTACGAAAGATACCAAATTATCAGCAACCGCATCAACAACAGAAAAAGGTTGAGAAAAAGCCCTGTCAACAGAAAAATGAAATAATTGTTTATGCATATGATAGCATCATTTTGTGCACATTTAACACGATTTAATTGCTTATCACCATGATTATTTGATTTCATTCGGTTCCATTTATAATTGATCATCCTGCTGCATCATACATTTATCATTCTTTCAATTTATCACTTGGATAATAACTTATCATTTTTAATCCCTGTTATTTAATTTCAAAGAAGGATGATTGATTATAAAAAATCTGAGAGAATCTTAGAAACCAGAAAGGTCACATAAATTTTGAAAAGGCATACAAACGGAAAAATTATATCAATCTAAGAAAAGATTGCCTTTTTTTTTGCAAAAGTTCTGATTTGTTGCATTTTGAAATGTGGTAAGAATTAATTTAAATTGCTGAATGAATGATGCATAAAAAATTTGAACTGTTCACTATAATCTTGTTATTGAAAATCACAGATAAAATTTGAATTCCAAAAAATATTCTCGAAATATTTTTGCACAACGTATTGCAGTCGATCGAGGAAAGATGGAAACAAGAAGAGAAAATTCGTTATTGAATGCTGCCAAAAAATTATCCGTATTCACTATCAAAGAGGAAAAAGATGAGGATGTAAAACCGGTAAAGTTAGTGTTAAATTTAAAAATGACATTTCTAGTTTGAGATTGCTTGAATTTTCAAGTAGAGCGAGATAAAAACTTGAATTTTCCCCTCCCCCATTTGATGATGCAAAAGTTTAAATTTGCATTTAGATTAAAATTTTTTTCTAAAATACCCAATCATCTCTCAATCGACGAAATATGAGACATTTTTTTTTTTTTTTCAAAAGCAAATTCATCTTTCATGGATAGTAAAATTTCGTAAAATTCCAAAATAATTCAAAAAAAAATTTTAGAGCAGTAATTGAGATATTGAAGCCAAAAATACCATTGCAAAGAGTATGTAATCTGAAATGTGATGAAAAGAAAATAGCTGAAAAGAAAGTATTCGAATATTTACCTGTTATCTATAAGGTATGTAATTTGCTGATAAAAGTAATGAATTGTAGAATGAATGCTGAAATTATAAAATCATTCATAATGGAATATAATTTATAGAAATTTATGAGTGAAGAAATGTTCACGGAATGGCGAAAGAAATATGACGAAGACAAACGTATACTTTACTCCGATCAACAAGCAACAGCAAAAGATAGTTCGAGCAGTCTTGTAAGTTATGATGAAATGCGTGGAAATGATTTGATTTGATGTTTTTTTTTTTTACAATGAAAAGAATTTAAATGAATAAATATGTTATTTGCTTAATTTATTTGTCATTGATACAAATTTTCATTCTTATAATTTGGGTTGTTTCATTATAATATATGAATTATTAGTAGTTACAGGTGACAGCTTGTTCGAATGTAAGCATATCATTTCACGATACGGGAATGATAACGATGGATGAAAGGACGAGTGGATGGGAGGAAGCTGCTGGCATTCTCGGTTTTGATTCGCCTGATAATAGAGGAAATACGAACAAAGCTGTTCAAATACGTGGAAATTTGCCCAATACATTGTAGTGATGATATTTTTTTTTACTGATAAATGCATGTTTCTCCTACAAATTGACATTTGATAAAATTATTTTCATAATTTTAAATCAATTCATTAAATGAAACAAAAAAAAAAGAAAAAGAAAATTGAAATAGTTCTTTTTTTTTGGACTGTTATATTATCATTGTTGATTAAAAAAAAAAAAAACGCATTTATTATTGTTAGAAAAAAAGACAATGCTTTCCAGATTATTGTTAATTTGTAAAAAACTAAGCTTTAGCAATGGAAGAAGTTCAGCACTCTCAATTATCAAAAATTTCAATTTTTGTTTTTCACATTTTTATAAAGGTCTAATTTCACTTTATCTATTTCAGACCCCTATGCTAATTGCTAATTTACATGGCTATAAAGGCTTGATTTAACTATATGCCAAATAATCTTCAACACTGTTCATCTCATCTTTACTTAGCTTTACTCTACTGCGTTTTCTCGAAGAAACTTCGCAACTTTTAGTTCATTTTTGTCAATATTCTGCTCCAAAATATTAGCTTTTGGTTTGATAGTCTTCACCAAAAATTAATGCTGCTTCAACTTCATGCTTGTCTGCTTGGAATTTATAATCTCGAAAAATGTCCTTAGAAATTTATATTATCCAACTTGAAATTCGTGTGTGCAATGTCGGCAGAACCGCTGTGCCGCTAAATTTCTTCAACTTTAACCCGCTATTCCTTTTTTTTTGTTGTTTTCATTTTAATAGGTTACTTTTAAATTGAAGAATTAATGATTCATTCTGTCGTATTCGTAAAATGAATGGCTTAATGAAGAGATGAGCATTAAAATTAATGTTCAATAAATCCTCGCAAATATGCACCTATTCAAAGATTAAATATTTCTTTTATCTTACTCAATTATTCCTCTATTATGTAATTGATAAAAGATGATTTGATAATTTTTCTTTAATTTAAATGTCAGATTAAAATTTTTATTATTTTGGATATAATGCCTTATTTGTGTTTTCCATCCTTTTCCTCAAACAGTCCTTTCTACATGAAAATTCATTCGTGAAAATTCGTTCGAGTTTGCAAATACACATGAAAATTCATTGGAGTTTGAAAAATATTTTAATTGCTTACAGAAATTTTGTCACCCATGATCTTACGATTATCAGTTCGTTTGCTGCTGCTGCAGCATGCACAATGCAAGCAATTTCTATAGCAGAACTGTACATGCAAACAATGTGTCATCCATTGCTCAACACGTTTTCTTCACATTTAGAAGTATATATGCCATCAAAATGAATTAAGTTAAACTTTTTAATTCTTTCAAATTTCAATTTCTAAATTGATTCACAATATTTGTTTAAGCACTCGTTCATGCTTATGCAAGAGAGAATTTCTATTTTCAGACAAATATTTAAATAATCAAATGATGTCGTCATGTTCGATTAGCACCAAAGATTTGCACAAATTTTTTCACCCTTACTAATATTTCATTCATTATTCTGATCATAAACATATCGTGTATCAATCAATCAATTAAGGGATGAATGATTAGATCTTTTTTTATCTCGAAATTTGTTAAGCAAATGCGAAACTTTCCGCCATCAACACATCTCCAATATTTTCCATTCATTAATTCTGATCATAAATCAGCGGAGCAAATGCAGCATTGCAAGTGCAAGTGTACGACGTTATTCAATTATCGATCGCAATTCTGATCAATCGAGCTACTTTGAACAAAGCATAACGTAAAATTAATCGAATCCCTCACACGAAGTTTGATTTGTACGCTAAGCGGGCGAATATGATGATCACGCCACGTATCATCATTGGGTCACTCACGCGAATGATAATTTACGCAACCCCATGAGACCTATACCTTAAATGCAAGGTATGGGGTGGAGTTCAGGGTGCGCATGTGACTGGCAGAGTTGTTGTGTTTCACTTTGTGAATTGATTTATTAATGCTTCCCACAATGAGTGGCTTATAAATGTGCAGAAGAATGTGAGATATCTTTTATATATTTATATGCGAAGAGTTCGAAGAGAAGGATTTTATTTTTGATCAAAATAATTTGAAATTTTAAAAAAAAAAATGAAAATATCACATTATATATGATAGTTTTGACAAAAGAAATTAGCTCCAAATGATAATATTTATTTGTCTTTCATTCGTTTCCAATGTTAATATCTTTATCGACGAATTGAATTCAACATTTCTATGGCATAATTTAATTAAAATTCAGCAATGCTAAATAATGATTGTACAAAATCTTATTGTAATGATATTTGTGCATAAATGTATGTAATTTCATTTTCAATATTTAAAGTCAACCGAGAAATCTCAGATTTTTTCAATATATCAGATAAAAATTTTGTGTTAAACAATTCATGAATTTAAAGTAGAATTTTAAAGTGACTATTTTATGCTATAAAAATATGTTCGAGTTAATTGGACACTCATTGATATGTGCACAAAATTCCAGGATATTCTGATAACAAGCGCTTATTGTATTATTGAGCATTTAAGCTCTCGTTAAAGTTAGCAATATTGGTTTAAAATTCTATAAGATAAAGTCAAGTTGGAATAAAATTTTCGAAACGCAATTGAATTCAATATTTTTTCAATCATCAAAAATAATTAAACAAAACGCTTCAATCATATTTTAAATAAAATATATATTTTTAGATAGTATTTAATTGTTTGATCTAAAATATTTGTGAGCTTCATGAACCAAATAAATGAATTCTTGAAACGATTTTTGCGATAATGAAAAAATCGATCAGGTACATTTTCCTATTTGTACTTTATTAAACTGGATAGCTCATGCTTCAAAAGCAATTTAAATCTATTAAAAAATTAAAAAAAGATTGGATATAATGAGATTCTTTTAAAAAATAGAAAACTTTATTTAAGAAAGTTTAAGTGAGATGCATAAATTTTATATATTTCTCGAAATTCAATTCAATGTTTTTCCTAATAACAATTATGAATGTAATTTTATCGAACATTCGTTGAAATCTTTCAAGATTTTTAGTCTTTTATTAATCAAACGAATTTCTCATCTAATGTTTCTAATTTTAAGTTTTATAGCATATTTGAATCGTTATTCAGTAAATGATGAATATTCAATAAAGTAAATGATATTCAGCAAATGATGAAGTTAGACCCAACAATTTTACGGATTTTTTTTTTTTTTTGAAAATGATAGATGAAAATTTTATAACAACTAGCAAGGTGCTGTAGGAATGATTAATTTCGGGATTTAAAGGAACTTGGGATGATGCAAAAATTTCAGTATTATTTAAAAAATTTTTTTACCCCTCAGTTTAATTTGTATGAAAGATTAACAAAAGATATTGGTATTAGCTTTTTCATTTAAAGCATAATTCATTTTTCTCAACTCTTCTCTCTTTCCCTCTCTCTCTCTCTCTCTCTCTCTTTCTTATCACAAAAATTAGCAAAAGTTTCGTCCTATTTCCATATGTTTTATCTTGGAAATTCTATTTCTATATATTTTATCATAATTATTAAATATTTCATTCACTAATGTAGTAGTTTGTTGTATATTTAAAGAATTTGAATTAATATGTAAGATAGATTGGTTAATACTTTTTTTTTTTCTAAACAAACTAAGTAATTCTCTCAGCTAACTGAATTGAAATAACAATGATTGTTCGATCATTAATTCATTGTGCCTTCAATGTTATTAACATTCATCTGACAAAAACATTAATTCCAATTTTGTCATTCATTTATGTGAGAATTATTTCTTTAATTATTTTTTCGTTTTTTAGCATTTATTTATTTTAGCAGTATTAATGCACTGATTAATTCGCTGGAAGAGAAATTAAATGATTTCATTCTCAGAAAGTGAAACTTTTCAATCTTGTTAATTGAAAAGAGATCATCGATGGAATTAATGACTGATCGAAGAATTCTATGCTAAGTTCAAAAAAAAACACAAATGTCTTCCTGATAACCGGAAGTTCCAGTCATTTCCACATGTAAATCTTATTTTGATATTCAGTTCTATTGCATTCGGGATTTTCATTTGAGAATTTGCATTAGCGAATTTAAAATTTCGGAAGGCAATGAGCGTGAACTTCTGAACTTGGAAGCTGAAAATCGAAATTATTAAAGCCGAAAACAAATGTCGGCATTCAACAATACACCAATGGTACCACGAATTTCTAAACTGAAAAATCAAAATTTCACTTTTTCTAAGTAAATTCTGAAATAAATTTACAAATCTGAATATAAACCACTTCTCAAATTTATGATAGAAATGAAACTATAGAATAAAAGATGCTCGAAATAAAATTCGTTGTAAGACAAAAGTTTTAAATCAACATGAAATTTGTTGAAGAAAAAGGATTAAATTGCGTGATCATTTCTGCCTTTTTTTTATGTCACATTATTATAAATGATTTTTTATGTCATATTACTACAATAATGTGACATAAACCACGCAATTTAATCCTTTTCTTCAACAAATTTCATGTTGCTTTAAAACTTTTGTCTTTTCTTTCTTTTATCACCGTCAAATTTTCAAATCCATTTTTGCATTTATTTTACTAAAAATGCGAATATTTTTGCATTACTTTTAATATTTTACAGTTTTGAGTTTAAAATTTATTCAAAAAATCGATGTTCCACGAAAAATTGTTCCATTGCTAACAATGAAACAATAAAATTCAAAATATTAAAATATTCCAATAATAAAAGGCTGTATAAGCTGATGAAATGTAGCGAACATTGAACGAGAGAAGTGATATTGATAGCGAAATTATAGCGAAAAAATTTTTGTGCTTGAATTGAAATAAAATTAATTTTAGTGAAATTATACTTTCAATTTCCCATAACATATACTGACTAAATGATATGCAAATTGAAAGCTAAAATTCTGGAAGAAATTTGCACGATGAAATTAAAGGATAAAATTGATTTCATGAATAAAATGAAAAAGAGGTCATACGAGAGACAGCACTATCTGAGATGTCCTCCTCTTCAAGGAGACAACTGA